ACATCATTCCCAATGAATAGGATGTCATCTACATACATAACCAATAACGTAACCTTATCTCCCACTGTCTTCCTATAAACACATGGCTCATCCGGATTCAACTCAAAGTCAAACTATTTGACGGTAGAGTCAAACCAGATGTTCCAGCTCCTATAAACTTGCTTAAGTCCATATATGGATAAGTTAAGTTTACACACCTTGTGTTCCTGACCTGCAGTAACGAATCCTTGCAGTTGCTGCATGTAGATATCTTTAGTAAGATCTCCATTCAGGAATGCGGTTTTGGCATCTATTGCCAAATCTCGTCATGGTGTGTTGCTATAGTTAGCAGGATCCTAATGGATTTAAGCATGCCACTGGTGAAAAGGTTTTCTCATAGTCAATTCCATCTTTTTAAGTGTATATTTTCACCACAAGATGAGCCTTGTAGGTCTCGACTTTCCCATTGGGGCCTGTTTTCATCTTGTAAATCCAATTGCAACCAATTGCTTTTACCTTAGGGGGCGGATCTACGAGAATACAGACTCCATTGGTTTTCATTGAGTCCATCTCAGCTCTCATGACATCTACCCACTTCAAGGAATCTATGCCCAACATAGCTTCCATATAAGTCACGGGATTTTCCTCACTGTTGATGGATTTCATTAAGTAATTTTCTTGGTCATAATCGTAACAAACTAGAGACCTAGATACCCGGGTAAACCTTCTAAGTTGGTTATTTTCTAGAGCCTGTGGGACATTTCACACTACCCATGGGCTTTCCTCATAAAGAACAACTTCCTGATAATGATTGTCTAGGATATAGTCTTTTTCTAAGAAATAGGCATTTCGATTGCAAAACACCTTTTGCTATTTTGGGTCATAGAATAAATAACCTACAGAGCTTTTGGGGTAACCTACAAATAGGCAACGACTGATTTTGGATTCCAATTTGTCAGCACTTGTTCTTTTAACATGTGTCGAACAACCCCAAATCTTTAAGTGTCTTAACTTGGTTTCTTACTGGTCCATAGCTCATATGGAATGGATTTGGTTGGAACCTGATTCAACACATATATCGCAGTCTCTAATGCGTAATCCCAAAGAGTATAGGTAATTCTGAGTGGATGATAAGTGAATGAACTATATCCAATAGAGTCTGGTTTGTCCTCTCCAATACATCGTTTAATTGTGGTGTAGCAAGATGAGCTAATTGTGATACAACCCCATTTTCAAGTAGTCCCTTAATTCGTCGGAGAGATATTCACCTCATCAATGTGATCGAAGGGCCTTAATTTGTCTCCCCAACTGTTTCTCGACCTGTTGTTTGAACTCCTTGAACTTTTCAAAGAATTCAGACTTGTGTCTCATTAGGTACACGTAACCATATCGAGAGTAATGACCGGTGAATGTTATAAAGTAAATGTGCTGGTTACGGGTCCTAACATTCATGGGACCACATACATCAGTATGTATCAGGTCAAGTGTGCCTGTAGATCTTTCAGGTTTACCTGTAAATGGTCGTTTCGTCATCTTACTCTAAAGGCAAGGTTCACAGGTTGTAAGATTATTTATAGTTACAAAATCTAAAGGACCATCTTTTACCAACCTAGTGATACGATCTATATTAATGTGGCCAAGTCGGTAATGCCACAGGCACGTGGGATTAACTATATCACATGTTATTTTTTTGGGGATTACATCCAACACAGTTTCGGTTAAGTTTGTTTACAGAAAAGGATGGAGAACATAGAGACCATTCTCAAATTCTCCATAAGTGAGGAATTTGTTATTATGTTTAATAATAATCACATTACTGAATAAAATATAATAACCATCTATATACAATTTTGAAACAGAAATCAAATTTTTCTCAAATTAGGTACATAAAGGCAATCATTAAGTAAAATAACTCATTCGTCGAAATACAATTCTACATTTCCTATGGCTATAGCTGCAACAGTTGCAAAAGTCCCCAAGTAATGAGTCACTTCTCTGTCACTCAGCCTTCTGATTGTCTTGAACCCCTACAATGTGTTACATGCATGAATAGAAGCCCTAGAGTCAATATACAAAGATGTAGAAGCAACCAACAAATTGGTTTCTATGACAAATGATTCAAAATTACCTTATTTTTTGGCCTCCAAATACTAATGACAATTCCTCTTCTAGTGGCTGGCCTATTGTAGAAGTGGCAGGCATCAGATGTCTTATCCCTCTTCTACTTTTTGGTCTTGTCAACTTTCTTCTGAGGCTTTTTCTTTGCCTTCCTCTTCTTCTTGCCCGATTTTCTAGCTTTAACAAGCATGGCAATCGGCCTATCATTCTTAATCAATTTTTCAATCCTCTACAACATATTGTTGAGTTTTGAAAACTAACATTAAGCTTATTCATGTTATTTATGATAAACTGATTGAAAGAGGGTGGCAAAGAGTTTAGAACAACATCAATTTTAGTGTCATCGTCAAGCCTTGAATCGAGAGCCTCCAGTTCATTGATATAACCCATCATCTTTAGACAATGGTCATGACCTGTTGGTTCTTAGTCATTTCAGTGGTCATAAACAACTTTAGGACCTTCTGTCGAATAGAACGATTCTGCTCTTCATACATAGTCCTCAGACTATCCGTGATATCCTTGGATAGTTCGGTCTTATCAAACTATTGATGTATCAGATTGTTTATGGAGGCTATGATATAACACCGGGCAAGAGAATTTTTCTCCTTCCATTATTGATACTTTTTCTTCTGGGCCTCGGAAGCCCTGTCATCCGGATGTTTCGATGCAAGGTTTTTGGCTTCTTTGTCCAATTTCTCGGATGTTAGCACCAGCATAATGTTACGAAACTAGTCAGCATAATTTGGGCCCTTAAGCTTATTATTGTCCAACAGTTTAGTGAATTGTCTATTTGCCATTTTTTATAAAAGGCAATGCAAATTATTAGTCCACAAACATAAATTGATTCATGTTATTTACATAGAAAAGGCTTTTAATCTATGTTCAATTTCCTTTTCTTCATCAATGAGATTTCCCTCCCATCTCAATGATAGAGACGCGATTATGTCTCTGGAAATGTGGGAAATCACATATGGTGCATGGAGCCAACTGTTTCAGCTGCAAAGCCTTACCACTTTCTGTGAATGATCATATCCACTTATCTTATGAGCTATCCCTTTGGCCTCTGTCAGACAAGGTTCATTGCCATTTTAGGTTAAACTTTTATGTCCAGTAAGTGCAGATCCGCCATATTCGTGAATGCCAAGGTACCGTGAAAGAGTCTTCCATTTTAGGATAGGCCCCTCCCACATCGGTCTATGACGCTCGTATCATCTTATGAAGCAATCAAACAAACTCACCAGCAAATGGATAACCCAATTTTATGGTGCATCTCCTCATTACTGATAAACCCATCCTCATGCTAATGACGGAAGGCCTTTTAAAGAGTTCATCATATGAATCTCTCTATCATACACACTTATATAAATCTAGAGGGAACAAGTTGTTACATCCCTAGATCTGAGTTAGGTCAAACCGAAGTGGCTCCCACCGATTTTCTTAAAGCTTTGGGATTTGGTCTGCAAGATTTTCCCTACTTTGTTTAGTCTCTCATAACTCTCAAATTCATTTTTTTTCATTTTAATTAAAAAAATTATTGTTAAATATAACAGGCCATTTAATTTTCCAACATATGTGAGCTAGAGTGCCAATATAAAGTATGATGTGTTCTTATCTGATTCAAAGTATAACAAGGATTTAAATTTACACACATACGGGATATATCGTATTGGTATTTGTCCATGGTCATAGCATACGGTTTGTAAAATGGATGTATCAAACCGACATGGATGCGTATTGGCCTATATCACACTGTATCAACTGATACGCATCAATACAGACCAATATATAGTTTTTTCTCTCAATGTTTTCAAAATTGGATCGAAGAAAAACTAATCACTTGATTGGTTTTGTTTCACCCAAAACCGCCTTTTGGCAAAAAAAAAAAAAAAATTGTTGAATTGGTCTACGAATAATTGACCCGAGCAATCGAACCATCGACCTAGACAACGATTATCTGGTTGTTTTATTTTTTATTTTTTATTTTTATATTTTTGTTAGAACAGGCCCGTTGGTTCCGAGCCTGAAACATAAGCCCTAGCCTAGGTCTACACGGGCCAGGTGGGGCCGAAATTGATTATAGGCCAATGTCTTTCATATATAAAACATTACATATCTATAATATTTTATATTAAATGACATAACATGCATATAAACTTTTATTTTATATTATATAATATAAAATATTACATATAATATAAATTATACATGTCATATTATAATATTTATATATAAAGTGTATAATATAATGTAAAATAACATGTATATACATTATACACAAAATGTATAAATTTAAATATATGTGGGTTGTACCGGGCCCAGATTGGGCTTGAAATATTAAGCCCAAACCTGATTCTAAAATTTGTGGGCCTGATGTAGCCCAAGCCTAATCCGAACTTGAACATAAAACCCAGGCCCAAGCCCAGAATTTTTAGGCCGAACTTGTGCGGGCTGTGCCGGGCCGGGCTGAAATGATCACCCCTAAGCCAAGGCCCATATCCACACGGACCCGGGCTGGCTCTGGCCTCTGAGATCTACAGCCTACAGACTGGAGTCAAGGCCCCCCACCACAATTGTTATTCCATCAAGATGGGACGAAAAAGACAAGCGTGGATCCCGGTGCGGAATCATTACTTTTTGATTTTCATTTTTCCTTTTTGATTGTAGAATAATAAAGTACGCTAAAATCAAATCTATACGTAGAACCACAAAGGATTCTAATCCAACGCTAAAAGCGTGATTTCCGTAACAAATATGTAGATTTTGCCTACATAGCATCATGGCCCAAAACCGCGCCATCCCCGTCATTATCATCATCATAAAAACGAATTTATTATTATTTTTCACTAGAAAAATCAATCAAAACCGTAGATGAATGTGGTCCTAACGGCTTTATAAAGTCAGGTAGCGGGAACCCGTTTATACGCCACTGACCACAGTCCACAGACTTCTTCTTCTTCTTCATAAGTTGGCGGGAAACTTGAAAAACCAAAGAAGAGGGAAAGCCTGAGATGAGAAATTAATTAAAAATTTTTCTTATTTAAGCACCAATTCCTAGGGTTTTCTTCTCTTGTACACTATTGCCTCCCTATAAATCCCTTTCCTTGTCTATTCTGTTTCCCTGCAATTCTCCCTGCAATTTAGTTGTTCGACGAAATTCCCCACACAGGGGATCTTTTCCTTTGATCGAAGATGTACGTCATCAAGAGAGATGGTCGGCAGGAAGCTGTTCATTTTGACAAGATCACCGCTCGTTTGAAGAAGCTCAGTTATGGGTTGAGCATTGATCACTGTGATCCAGTGCTTGTGGCTCAGAAGGTCTGCGCTGGGGTCTACAAGGGTGTCACCACAAGCCAGCTTGATGAACTGGCTGCCGAGACTGCCGCTGCAATGACTGCAAATCACCCGGATTATGCATCCGTAAGTATTTCATTTCTCGTAATAGTGGGTTTGCGTTTGTGTTTTGGTTTTCGTCATCGGACTAAGATTTGTAGGTCTATTGCTTCTTCGTTGACGATGTTGATTAATGAAGATAGGAGGCATTTGGCTTGATTGTTGATTTATTATTGATTCTGTTTCTCTTTTTGTTTGTGTGAATGTAGCTGGCTGCTAGAATTGCTGTTTCGAATCTGCATAAGAATACCAAAAAATCATTTTCAGAGACGTAAGTTTATTCTGTATTTGAATTTCTTTTATTTTTGTAACTTTTTTTGGTCTTGGTCTAATTTTTTCTTGGTATACTCGGAAGAGTTGATCAGATTTGCGTTGTTGGTGCAGGATCAAGATCATGTACAACCATTTCAATGAACGATCTGGGCAGAAGGCTCCTCTAATTGCTGATGATATTTACGGAATAATCATGAAGGTACTCTTAGCCTGCATGCTTTATATTAATTCATATGGCGGTAAATGTTTGTAAGAGTTCCTTTTAGTTGTAGATCATAGCATGGATTTTTTCTCTTGGTGGAATTCATCCATTGACATTGCTAGAATCTACTGTGCTGAATACTAAAAACACTATGAAATGAAATGGTTGCAACACTCAAATACAGTGCTGAGTACTAAAAACGCTTAGAGAGACCAGTATCCAATTTGATGAGGACCTATTGCCAATTAGGCCCATCTACAAGTGTTGAGGAGTTGTCTGCTATGAGAATATGATTCTTCTTTTGTGTGTTATTTGTTTAGATGTTCATGAATATTGTGATTCTAGGATTTTAAATATGTTAACATGGTTCCTATCTCTTTCAGAATGCAGCACGCTTGGACAGTGAGATCATATATGACAGAGACTTTGACTATGATTTCTTCGGTTTTAAAACCCTTGAGAGATCCTACCTGTTGAAGGTTCAGGGGAAGGTTGTAGAAAGGCCACAGCACATGTTGATGAGGGTTGCTGTTGGAATCCACAAGGATGACATTGATTCTGCTATCAAAACATACCATTTGATGTCACAGCGTTGGTTCACTCATGCCTCTCCAACTCTCTTCAATGCTGGGACTCCGAGGCCTCAAGTATGTTTTACATATATTTTTTGTATGTTGTAATTTCTGTTGCTCATTATCCTTTGGCTCAAATTTGTTTTGTTTGTTTTGGCAGCTCAGCAGTTGCTTCCTTGTGTGCATGAAAGATGATAGTATCGAGGGAATATATGATACCTTGAAGGAGTGTGCTGTGATCAGCAAATCTGCTGGTGGAATTGGTGTTTCTGTTCATAATATTCGAGCCACTAGCAGTTACATTTGTGGTACAAATGGGACATCCAATGGTATTGTTCCAATGCTGCGTGTCTTCAATGACACTGCTCGCTATGTTGATCAGGGAGGAGGCAAGAGGAAGGGTAAGATGGTCAATAGTCAATTTCTCAATCATCTCTTACTGTTGTTATCATATATTTAAGCATGTCTCTACTAATGCTCTTTGTCTTTCTAAAAAGGAAACAAAGGAAAAGAAAAAAAAATATTAGTTTACTTCATGCATGCACATACAGAATTTGTTCTATGCATGTTTTGCTTGTATTAATCTGATGTTGTGGCTTACTTGGTATCCTGTTTTCATACTTTTCCCATGCTTGGTCTAGGTGCATTTGCTGTGTATTTGGAGCCATGGCATGCTGACGCATTTGAGTTTTTAGATCTCAGAAAGAACCATGGAAAGGTATGTACTTGTGTGTAGCTGATCTCGATGGTTTCACTGCAAAATGGTTGTTAATTCTGTTGCTAGTTCAGTTCTTTTGCATTTTTTTGCTCTTTGAGCCACAGTTTCTATGTCCATCAGCTTTATTATTTAGCATTCATCTTTAAGTTTTGGTGCTATCACAGGAAGAGCACCGGGCAAGGGATCTATTTTATGCTCTTTGGGTTCCTGATCTTTTTATGGAAAGAGTCCAAAGTGATGGACAATGGTCCTTGTTTTGCCCCAATGAGGCTCCTGGTCTGGCTGACTGTTGGGGTGAGGAATTTGAGAAACTGTACACAAAATATGAGAGAGAGGTAAATGTCATTGCTGCTTTCTAGGTTGGGTCTTTGTTTGAGCTTTCAATTGGCAGGTTCTAATAAGCTCCTATATTTCTGTATATAGGGTAAAGCAAAGAAGGTTGTCTCTGCACACAGTCTCTGGTTTGAGATTCTGAAAGCGCAAATTGAAACCGGAACTCCTTATATGCTTTTCAAGGTATGAATGCAAATGTAACTTCTCTCAACTGTAAAGATTCCTTGGCTTCTGTTCTTGATCCTGATCTATTTCTGCAGGATACTTGCAATAGAAAAAGTAACCAGCAAAATTTGGGGACCATCAAATCTTCAAATTTGTGCACTGAGATTATTGAGTATACAAGTCCAACAGAAACTGCTGTTTGCAATTTAGCATCCATTGCTTTACCTCGATATGTAAGGGAGAAGGTGGGTGATATATTTGCATTTAAGTATTCTAAAATGCTTTACTTATGTTTTTCTGTATCCTGGATGCTCCTGTATACTCATTCTTTTTTTATTGTACCAGGGGGTGCCTATTGAGTCACACCCATCGAAGTTGGTTGGAAGTAGAGGACACACGAACCGATACTTTGACTTTGATAAACTAGCAGAGGTTTGTGTACAATATGCAGATACTTTCCTACTTTGTATCCTCATTACAAGTATTAGAATGTGAGCTTAAGACAGTGCTTTTAAACTTTGTCACCTGTGGGGCTGAGACAGGTTACTGCAGTAGTTACATCAAATCTCAACAAAATAATTGATGTAAACTACTACCCTGTTGAAACTGCAAGGAGGTCAAACCTGCGGCACAGACCAATTGGGATTGGAGTTCAGGGCCTTGCTGATACATTCATCCTACTTGGCATGCCATTTGATTCGCAAGAGGTAAAAAGAATTTTAACGAATTTGTTTTGGTATCTTTCTAAACTAGTTTATATAGGTTAGTTAATATTTGTTTATATCTGCAGGCACAACAGCTTAATAAAGACATCTTTGAGACCATATACTATCATGCCCTTAAAACTTCTGCAGAGTTGGCTGCAAAAGAAGGTTCTTATGAGACATATAGTGGGAGTCCTCTGAGCAAGGTTTGTGACTATGAAGAACTTCTTATCCTATCTTGTGTTCTTAGTTCCGTTCTTACCTTGTTTACTTGTGCCCATGTTTAGGGTGCAAGTTGGGTACCTGATTTATGGGACATACACAGCAATGGCTCTACTGTATTTTTGGCACTTCAATTGCAACCACCTAATATATGCACTACTTAGATTTTCAGATAGAATATATCAAGTTGTTAGCTATAAAAGGAGCAGCAGGTTTGTTGTTATCTCTTGATTGGGTTGAATTTAAATGTGAAGATCCCCTTCATATGTGTTTTGTTGAATTGTGTGCATTTAAAATGTGTAGAAAGAGTGGGGGGGGGGATGCCTTGCCCCCCAACCAAGCTAATAATTTTCATTTAAGGATCTTTTGTAATCATTCTGTTGTCATCTAATGCATGTAAAATGGCAAAAATATGGTAGAGCCATACACTACCTACACGTACAGGAGCTTATATAATGGTGATGTGCAGGGAATTCTTCAACCGGATATGTGGGGTGTAACACCATCTGATAGGTGGGATTGGTCTTCGCTAAGGGAATTGATATCCAAGAATGGAGTGAGAAATTCCCTTCTTGTAGCACCCATGCCCACAGCTTCAACTAGTCAGATTCTTGGCAACAATGAGTGCTTTGAGCCATACACCTCTAATATCTATAGTCGCAGAGTGTTGAGGTTTGTTAATAATTCTCTCTAGTTAACTTTGTGTTTTCAATTAAGACTTGGAGTATTGTTCAAAATAATGGTATGATATATGTATCCTTTTTTGGCTGAGGTCCATGGTACACCCATTTTTTTTTTATCAATAACAGAAACTTTATTAAGATTTATGAAGCTTTAGGTACAAAAAGGGGGAGATGAAGAGTCTTATCTCCCCATTAGTAAGAACGTTAAAAATTAGCCCAAAAAATAGCCTCCCTATTCACCCCTTGCTTGGCCAACCCATCTGCAAAAGAATTAGCAATCCTTTTCACCCAACTGTATTGTATCTCAATGCCCCTACATAGCCATAAGATTTTTTTCTTTTCATTATTGTAACTCCACAAGCCATTGTCCTCTTTCTTCAACCAGCTAATCACCACCTTTGAATCACCTTCCAAAATCAGTCGACTAATATTTAGTTCCCTTGCTCTTTGAACCCCTTCCAAAGTTGCAAGGATCTTAGCCTTAATAGAGTCCTTCTCCAATAGGGCCTAAGAACAGAGCAATAACAATCCCTTCCTCATTCCTGAAAACTCCCCCAATCCCAGAGGGCCCTGGATTCCTTATGCTACTGCCACCAAAATTCACTTTTATAAATCCGGAGGGAGGAGGGGACCACAAGGGACTAAGAGTCCTCTTACACAGAGTAGAGGTTGCTAACTCTTTTCAGTTTCTTAACAGGTCAACTATTGGAGAGTCTGAGAACAGTTCCATAGTTTTTAGCCAGTGGGCAACCCTTAAAAGTATTAGGTCTAATAGTTCTTCCAAGGATCTCTCCTTTTTTGAAAATATTCGAGAGTTTCTTTCCTCTCATAGTGACCAACGCACGGCTGCCCTAATACTCCACATCATCTTCCCTCCCTTAGGCCATCTGAAAAACGAAGGGGAGAACAAACCTTGGACACTCTCAGGAGGGTTCCAAGTACACCCAAAGCGAGAGAGTACCCACTCCCAAATAGTTTTAGTAACCTTACAAGAGACCAAAAGGTGGTAACCGGATTCCCTATCATCTTTAAAGAGAGAGCATCTATTAGGAAGTAAACAAGAATTGAGTATCTTTTTCTGAAGTAGATCATTTGTATTTATTATTTCCAGGAAAATTTCCCAACAAAAAAACCCAACCCGAGGAGGAATGGGCTTGCTCTAAATTTCCTTAATCGGAAAGGACACACCAGAAGGGTTAGATAACTGAGTTAAGGTTTCAAAAAATGAAGCACAAGAGAAGGTTCCTGAAGTAGAAGGGATCCAAATTCTGGTGTCTTCCCTATTAGGATCAAGGAAGATATTCTCAAGGATGGCTAATAAAGGTAAGAGGCTGTCCAAGTCTGTATCCCTAATTGCCCTTCGCAGGTTGATGTTCCACCCAAAACTAGAAGTGGAGTCTGAAGGAACTAAAAAAGAAGAGATAAGTTCATTTTTCAAATCTGACAGAGCATACAAGGAAGGGAACTGGTCTTTTAGAGGTGAAACCCCAACCCAAAGATGTTTCCAAAATTTTATTCGATTGTCAGAGTTAACACCGTACCTGATCCAAGGGGAGAAAATTGGAAGCAGATCATGGATGGATTTCCATAGAGAAGCAACTGTAGCCCTTGCCACAATTCTAGAATCCTAGCCATTGTCTTCCAGCCCTTGTATGCTAGCCACAATCTTTGTCCACAATTTTTCCTTTTCCACTGTGAACCTCCACAACCATTTTCCCAACAACGCCATATTCCTTTTCTTGATGTTTCCAATCCCAAGACGGTCCATGGTACACCCATTGACTGATATGGACTGATTTAGTCAATGCATTATCTAAAGCTTTCTATTAAGCTTATGCGTTTTCAACTTAATTAAAATATAATACTGAATTGTATGTTAATACTAGTAAGAATGTCTAAGAAATCTAACTTGCATATTAAATTAACTTGCTTTGTGGATTTCCAGTCCCCATTATGAATTACAAATTTGTAATGCATTACATGCATATTATTTTGTAGCAGGTTGACCATTTGTGTATATAATTTATTATCTAATTTTGGATGCACTATGCCTATAACTATATAATAGTGGGTTCATTTGAAAATTTTTATATAAATTATCTTAAATGGAGTATACATTTATGTAACTATAGAATTTATAGTGGATTCATTTGTATTTTGCATACAAATGTAACTTCAATTGGTTGTTGTTTTCTATGTTGATTGAAATGCATTATTTCCTACGAGCTGTTACAGTATGTGCAACTTTATGTCTACCTTACCTCCAATTGAGCTGTAGAATTTGTGTTATTGATATATTTATAAGACTTGTGGGCGTCCACTGTATTCTAGTTTTTCCCAAGTGTCTGTCTCTTAAAATTACCATTTTGAAACTCTCGGCAAATGCTGATACTTCAATCTTTGACTTGGAGCAACAATCTATGGTTTGCAGATCTGATTATTTTGTTTTTTAATTTTTGTTTCAGTGGTGAATTTGTTGTGGTGAACAAGCACCTCCTTCATGACTTAACTGAGATGGGCCTTTGGTCTCCTGCTCTTAAGAACAAGATAATTTATGAGAATGGTTCTGTTCTCAAAATCCCAGAGATTCCTGATGATCTCAAGTCTATCTACAAGTATGGATGTTCCATTTCCTTGTTTGTTTTATATGTTTGCTAAATATCCTTTGTATTTGCATGCCCATAGAATATTGCTAATTTGTTATATAACACCAGAACTGTCTGGGAGATTAAGCAAAGGACATTAGTGGACATGGCTGTTGATCGTGGGTGTTACATAGATCAGAGTCAGAGCCTAAATATCCATATGGACCAACCTAATTTTGGGAAGCTTACTTCCTTGCATTTCTATGCTTGGTCAAAGGTATTTTCCTCTATACAATGCTTAGTTCTCTAAATTGTGATGAATTTTAGGGAAATCTGATGCATTTTTGTGATGAATTGTCATCTCTAGCATATGTTTCTGTTGAACATGTTTTGGAGGTGGAGGGAGTTGGGGTTAGAGCAACATTGTGAATTCATCTCTTATCTTGGTTTAGATATTCTTTATCTGATTGGTTAAACTATGATAATTGATCTTCTGCAATTTCTTTATAGTTGGGACACAAGGGTCCATCAATTAGATGGTTATTATTTTGTTAGGTTTGATTCATGCTGTTTATAATCAAAAGCTTTGATGGTCTCAAAGATGATCAAATAAACATCCTGGTGCACTTGTAATGTTTAGTTATGTTTTTGTTCTTGTTCACTTTTTAATATCTTTACTAAACTTCCTCTGCTCCCTGGATATGCCAAGGGTTTAAAAACTGGGATGTATTACCTACGAACACGTGCTGCAGCAGATGCCATCAAGTTCACTGTTGATACCTCAATTTTCAAGGTAATAATAGTTGGTCTTATTTACTTGTATCTTCATCTTCACTACCATTATATTTTTTTCCTGTTTTTTAATCAAGCTCAAGTTCCTTGTGGTAATACAGGAAGAGAAGGTGAAGCCAGTGCATGATGTTAGTGCAAGCATGGCACAAATGGTTTGCTCTCTGGAGAACAGAGAAGAGTGTTTGGCATGTGGAAGTTAGTTTCTTTATATGGAATATGAGAACTGTTGATTCGGGTGCAAGTACACAACGTCCAAATGCTGAAACAGGATAATGGGAAAATGCTGCAAGGGTTGAGAAGATGGTTCTATCGGGTCAAGTTTCTAGCCAATTACACTGGTTAACTTTCTCTGTACAGCTGCTCTATGTAAGCCCCTCAGATAGGGTAATGGTGATATGTATATGTTTATTCTGTATTGGGTTTTGGATTTGGAGAGTAGCTGGTACCCCGACCACAATATCTCCACTCCACGTGATAGAAGTATTGATGATAGCTGGTCTCTTGGGTTCATTGCTAGCATCTGCTTTATTTAGTGACGGTTATCTCATCCTACTCCCAATGACTATGTACATGCTTTCATAGTTTAATATTGAGCCTAAATCTTGTGTTTTCTGCTTAGCGATTCATTGTGCTAAAATTAAGTTGGATAATGGTTCTAGTCAAGGGTCAAAGTATCGATATGTCCGATACTCGGTATCAAGCTGTATTGATACTTTTTTTTTATTTTTTTATTTTTAGTTTTTTTTTTTTTCAAATCCAAGGGTTGGTTTAAGGTCCTGTTCACCCCCTGAACTGGTTGAAATCCCAAAATACCCCATGGAAGAGCATATTGGGAAGCCCCTCATACGATACGGCTAATACGGCCTGATATGTATCTGCCAATATGGTCTGATACATATTGAAATTTCGAACCTTGGTTCTAGTTGCCCATTCTAATGCATTCTTTTTTGTGAGCAAGTATTAATGTCTTCGGTATCTCTTGGCTGTCAGGCTATGGTGGTTATAGAAAATTTTGTATTCCTAGGCATTATACCTGACCTGGACCTTCTCCATTTAATGGCCAGATGCTGAAACTTGAGTAGAAATGATTCTAGTTTCTAAAATTTTTGCCATGAATAGATTTGTAAATCTGGGCCCAAACCCAACTTAACCCTCGATCTGATATGACCCAAGTCCAAGACTAATAGGGAGGATCCAAATGGGCCCGAGATTTGTAAAAGAAGAAACTCTGAAGATGCGTTTATGCAACCATTAAGATGTGAAAATTTATTGAAGCCAACCAAAAACTAGGGGTGTTCATGGGTTGGGTTGGGTTGGTTTATTGGGGTTTTCCCAACTGATCCGATTTGGTCGGGTTACCTGAGGTGAAATTGAAATTGACCCATTGATAGGCCAAACCGACTTGGTCGGTTTGAGTCGGGTTGGGTCGGTTTGGGTTGGTTTCAGTTTTACTCTTGTACAAAAGGACACTGATAGCTATAAATATATAATCATAGCAAGTGCACTAGTTATCAAGTAGTATAAAATATCGTTCCCACGAGGATTTAACAAAATAAGTATTAGAACCACAGTCTTCCCTAATTATTTGGGCAACCGAAATTCAGAATTGAGCAAGGACTATTGAGAATAAAAATTAGCATAAGAAAATAAAAGCGAAGGTGATCACTAATCGAATCTGCAAAGGATGGAATCGCTAGGGCTTTTGGTTCACTTAACCAATGCAATGAATATTTATGGGTTCGATTTATCAAGATTAGTTGTCATTCTCATAAGTTGAAGTCTTTCCAATTTTATTTAATATTCTCTCTCGAGATATACTAAACCTACGGCCATCAGGTAGCCCTTCGATCTCTCGAGTAGAACTCTCAAGATGGGAGTGCATTAAGTCCAAGAAAACCATGAAAT